CACAAAACATTCTTGGATCTCCTCTTAAACTTGCCTTCCTAGCAATTCCAAGGAACAAGCACCTGAAGACACATTTATTACCATTTCTGGGCATGTGACTATCCACAATCGTGTGTGTGTGTGTGTGTGTGTGTGTGTGTGTGTGTGTGATTGTGTCAGAGCCACGTGCCCAGAAATAGTAATGTTTGTCTTTGCGCGCGCGCGCACACACACACACACACACACACAACTTTTCCAGCCACCATAAATGAAGCAACTTTTTCCAAGCCCTGGTGTGGACGGAGTGCTTAGTATACTGGTTCGAACCCATGTCTCAAACCGGTTTTTTCCTTCTAATGAAAGCAATATAACCTAGATAATCGTGATGATAAAATACCAGTTTTCGTCACATTTTTATAGTGGAAATTGGGGGGGGGGGGGGCTTATTTAATCACATTCATGTCAGTTCCACAGAATCAAAGCCCTTTGCCAGGTCATTAAGTCTTGTAGCACCCCAGCCGCATCTGGTCATTTTAAATGAACTCGTGATAGAGAGAGATACGGTTTTAAACCAGATTTCCTTTCCGCTCATCTATTTAAATCACTCACCAAAGTCCATAATTTAGTCTTCCTTCATCTAGTGATAAGTCGTGAAATTCTGTTGGCTGTGCTCTTAAGAACATTTTTTTTACAACTGCCACCCGTCTTATTTTTTGAAAGCCTGCTCTAAATCAAATTGATGGTTGATTTTCATACTAGTTTTTATTGTATGTGGATGATTAAAAACAGGCCTCCCTGGGGGGCATTCGTTAATCTGCTTGAGACAGCCTCCTGGGGTGCCAGCCCTTGATCTTCCTACTTGGTATGCGGTGTCCCAGCATCTCCAACATGCTAATGTTGCCAGCCCAGCAGGCCTGGGCTTTCAAGGGGAAAGGCCTCTTTAGTAATGCGGTCTGAATCCATGTGGCACATTTCAGAGTCTCTGCATTTATATTTATATACAGGGCGGGCAAAAGTAGGCGTACAGTGGTGAGTACACAAAACAGAGTTTATTCTGGCATTGTTATTTATTATTACAGTTGCTTGTATTACAACTGTACACCTACATTTGCCCACCCCTGTATATTCTCTCTTCACCACAATCGACCTAATTATAAGCATTAGATTCAGCTCAAAAAAGGAAAGGCAACAGGCAGAATGTTCGCACACATACTAATTAGGATAACAGTTATATATAATGTGACTGCCGGACAGGGGTGAAATCTGGCCGATTCTATCAGCTACAGCTCTATCAACCACAGCTCTGACTACAACCACGAACATCAACAGGCTACGCAAACGTTCTGTATATCCTGCCACCTTGGATTTCAAGTACAAAACACACCCCTCAGAATAGAGCAGAGACCAAGAAGTAGCTCTGGCTCTGCCACAGTTTGGGCCCTGACGCTGAAGTTTGGGAGTCGCTGCCCCGGAGTTCAGCTGCTGGGACCCATCCTCAGGTTTCTGTGCAGGTGTCCACGGGACAGAAGCTCAAGGCAAACTGTCCGGTTCCCTGGAGCTGCCCAGGCTGCTTGGCTCGTGTTCCAGGTGCACGTCAGCCTCGCGGAGGGCGTGTGTAGACTTACCCGGTTCCTGCCGAAAGCCCGGGAACTGAGGAAGAGCAGTGCCCTCGCCCCTCGGGTTGAAGTGACGCATGAAATATTATGGCTTTGCTGTCTTAGAAAGTCAGTTGGTTCCTTGACCCCAACCGGTCTGTTCTCATCCCAGGGCCACGACGCACAGCGATCTGATTCTGAGGGCCACCAGCCTGGGCATCCCGTACCGAGTCATCCACAACGCCTCCATCCTGAACGCCGTGGGCTGCTGCGGTCTACAGGTAACCACGGAGGAAGTGGTTTTTAAAAAACGTGTCATTTTTCTACAATTATTATATTTCATGGACTGTAAGATGTTATTATTTTATGCTACATTTGTGTGTACTCAGTTTTTTAATACTAAAACTTTTTATACTGTTTTTCTATAATTTAGGCTCCCCCCCCCCTTTGGAATAGACCATTGAAATTAACTAGAGGAAGGTTTTAATCTTACATTAATATGCGCCTACCTCAGAAGTAAATATAATCTAATTAAAGTGGCTCAGGACTCCAAAAGGCTCCACCTTCTCCTGAAAGCCTTGCTGCCTTGCAGAGCCCACTCTCTGCACACAGTGTTCTTTTCTGTGCCATCAGGGCCTGTGCTGCAGCATTTGTTAAAAGAATCTATAAAAGAGTCCAAAGCCACGGATAGTAAGCGTTTAAGCCAACTTTGTGGATATTAATGTGTAAAGTTAGTTATTTTTAACCCAACAATCTTGGTTCTTAGAAGTTTCTTGTTACATGTTATCTTGTCCTTTTCTTGGAATGACCAGAATAGCTGTATGTGTTCACTATCACAAACGAGTACCTTACAGGTGACAGACACGAGGGCGGGGCTCCAGGTTCTCCTGGCCTGTCTCTCAAAACACCCAGCAGGGCTGCGGCCTTGCAAGTGGCTGGTGCTTGGACATGTTATTGACCTGAATTTCATGCTTAGCTTTGTCGTATTGGCTTTGGGGTGGTAACATCACTGTCTGAATCCAGTTCCCTTTTGGAAAAGAAATATTGCTTTCAAAAGAAGTGATTTTAGGATGAAATCACATAATACAAACAGCATTGTGATTATTAGTAATGCACATCGTTAAAATAGCATGAAGTGGTAGGATTTCTTCCTTCGCATGCTTCTGCTGGCAGAGTGGGCGGGTTTGATAAACTAACTGGCCTTTGCCATCTCTACTGTCGATGAGTCTTTGAAATGTTATGTAGACAAGTGCGGGCACTGGTAGGAGCAGTTGGCATCGCTCGTACTCACTGACGGGCTCTGAGTTACCTTAAGTGCTCCAGAAAAAGAGCCTGCAGTCACAGTGGCTTGCTCAATGGGACGTTGCTGCTGTGCAGGCAGCCAGAGAATGAATGGGGTAGAGGAGGCCGCGTTCACTTTGAGACAGGGATCAAGAGTAGTGCAGAAAATAACACAGTGCCCGTAATGTGGCGTTGACTATCTCTGTAATTACAATAACACATTTTAACGTATATTATGCTTTTATTATTATAGATTCCCTAAAGTAGGTTTAAAATACCGAGAAAGAGAAAAAGGTCAAAAGTTTTAAACATGGACATTTTCAAGCGTATTGTGTCAAATTAGTTTTCCAAAGGATGGTGCCAGTTTAAACCTTCTGGGAGTTCATGAGAGTATCATTTTTACCAGCTCGTTGCAAATATTAGTGAAATTCCAGGTCACCAGCCATACTTCTCTCAAACGTGGTGGTACAATGCCTGCAAACTAATGTTACCATCAAATAAAATTTACCATAAACATACCAAGTCCTACACATTCAAATTGGTCACCGTGATGTTCGTTATTTTTTTGATGCTGTTGATCAAAACATTCTTGGATCTCCTCTTAAACTTGCCTTCCTAGCAATTCCAAGGAACAAGCACCTGAAGACACATTTATTACCATTTCTGGGCATGTGACTAGATTAAAAAAACACAAACCTGCGTTTTCGGTTGTGGTTGACTTCAGGGCAAGGTTGTAAAATGTTCTCGTCATTATGCGGCACTTCCACTTTCTCCGGCTGTTGCGTAAGTGACCTCGCTTGTTGTCATCTGTTGCTCTGTTTATGTGGTGGGTTTCTGCTTGTGATAACCGGCATGTTGACCTCAGAGAGGCTCTCCCCGTCCTTCAAAAGCATTAAATGGGCTTTCTTGGTGTCCCAGGGCTGGTGTGGAAGTGACAGCCTAACCCAGCACAAAGGCTAAGCCAGGTGGTACATGGACCGCGCTCTGCACAGTGATGTAGCCTCGGAGGGACTTGTCTGATACACTCTCTAGTCCAGCCGTGGGCAAACTACGGCCCGTGGGCCAGATCCGGCCCGTTAGAAATGAATAAAACTAAAAAAAAAAAAAAAAAAAAAAAAACAAAACACACACAAACAAAAAAAAACGAAAGACCGTACCCTTTTATGTAATGATGTTTACTTTGAATTTATATTAGTTCACATAAACACTCCATCCATGCTTTTGTTCCGGCCCTCCGGTCCAGTTTAAGAACCCATTGTGGCCCTCGAGTCAAAAAGTTTCCCCTCCCCTTTTCTAGTCTGTGAGTCACTTCAGAATTATTTTTGACCGCCTGCTAAATAATGGGCATATGAAAAAGTTTTTCCTTCCTTCCCATTTCTACTAGAACTTTTACTATAATCCCTATTTTAATAGCCATCATTCTCCTCCACTTGTAGTTGTTTTTTGTTGTGGACCTGAATGTGCCATTCTCCTACTCAAACAGTCCTGGTAAACCCATCCTGGACAGTGCTGAGTGGTGTGTGTGTGTGTGTGTGTGTGTGTGTGTGTGTGTACTATGTCCCTGACTCCACCTCCCCCTGCACTTTATCACAGTGCCATGCATGTCCTGGATATACAACAAGTATCCGCTGAGTTGAATTGCTTATTTATTTATGTATTTATTCCCCCCAGCTGGATCTTGTCTGTGGGATTATATGCTTTAAATTATAATCCTTTCATTTAATTCCTGTGTGGATTCGCTCGTTTGTGTGTGAGAATATAAATCTCGTCATTTTCCGTCTGCCTCGTCGTTCGGTTTTATGTCCCTCGTGTGCGGCCCTGTGCAGTCTTCCCGGCGTCAGCAGAAATCCGCGTGGCGTCAGTGCTCAGCAGATGCATGAGGGTAAAAACCAACTCCGAGACCGGGGTTCCGTACGGAAAACTAGTAACTCGCCATTATGTGGTTTCGTGGCGCTTTTTGACAAGTCTGCTAGCTCAGCTTTCTTTCATTTTACAGACTTAACTGATCAGATTTCGAAAGCACAGACATATAAGAGATACGTGTGGGGCTTAATAGTGGTCTTAGCAAGTTAAATTTACTAATTTCGCCATTTGCAGAGAAGATATTTTTTAACTTAAAAGTGACAAAATATTTTTACTTGAATGTAAAATAATGAAAGCATTAAAACCTGATTATAAAATGGAGTTTGCAAAGCATCTGCGCTTTGGAAATGACGGGACTACCGGTGGCAGTGAGACGAGTTAGAAAACTATTAACGTCTTTCAGGCAAGTGGTGTTGAGGGCTCTCAGGGAAGAAAAATCAAGTCAGTTTCTAGGTACATTGCTGAGTGGGAATGGACAGGAGTGGACATTGTAGAGCTGGAACGGACGGGTTGGTTGTAGAGGTCAGCCTGCAGGTATTTGCTGAGTGTTTGTTCCCCGGTGCTCACTGTGGTGTGGGTGGGTCCTGCCCTCAGGGATTGGAAGGAGCAGTTGCACACACGGAAGTTTAAAAGAACAATTACGCTCCATTGTGTGCAGGGGCAGGAAGGACAGACTCCAGTTTTGGCTCTTGAACTCTCTTTCTAAGAGCTGCCTCTTTTCTTGGCTTTCCTGGGAAAGGACAAACAAGGCTAAACAATATATCTTTCTTGCTCGTTAACAAAGGCAGGAACAAGGTGTGAAACACAGGGTGGGGCAAAAGCAGGGTTACAGTTACTCGGATGGAAAAATAATTAATAAATAACAACACAAGAAGAAACTGTTTCGATTTCTCACAACTGTAACCCTCCTCTGCCCCACCCTGTATGAGACGCCATGGAGCCAGACCCTCCAACCGGAGAGCTCATCATGGAGTCACCTGGGGCCTCATTTAAGTTCGCATGTACTTATTGAAAAAGGGCCAGAAGGTTGAGAACCACTGGTTTATCGTAAGATGTCATAAGGTAGAGATACTTGTTAGAGGCAAGTCGGGCAATAGTTATTTTTAGGTAAGTGGCTCAATCCCATGGTAAATATTGCCCAAGATTTCCTACCTCTGTCCCTTTGTCCCTGCCAGCTCAGCCTTCCCCAGTGCGCAGTTGCCACAGCCTGAGTCTTACCCTTCCTCCATCCCACTGACACCCTCTCTGCAGAAGCCCCCACAGGTGCTCCGCCAGAGGGAAGTGCTGCCCTGACAGCGCTCACGGCCTACGTGTCACGTTAGGTCATCGTTACTTGCTGCCTAACGTGTGCCTCACTTGTGTATCTTCTCACTCTAACCAGATAGTGTTTTACATGTAATGAAATGGCTCATTCTGAGTTAAGTTTTTGTCTTCAATAGACAAATCCATTATCCAACATCAAGTTAGATAAACTGCTTTCTGAGTAACTTACTCCAGGTTAAAACAAACAAGCAAAAGCATGCATTGATCTACTGTAGAAGCCAGCTCTGTTTATGGCCTTCATGCCTAGCTTTGGGTCAGCAGTGTGTGGGGGGAGATGGTCACAGCCCAGAGGCCTCTATAAGCCGGGCACCCCTGGTCCTGCAGCCTCGGTTCTCGTCACTGCGCTGTTACCGCAGCGGCTTTTCAGTTTACCGGCAGGTGTGGGGTTGTGCAACACAAAGATGGGCCCTTCTGTTCTTTGAGGTACTGGCATCCAAATGGTGAAACTCTTTGCGTAATGTTCCAGGATTCATTGAAGAAGTTTGCACCACCGCAGCCCTGGGAATGGTAACAGCCCCTAAATCAGGGTCCAGGAAGCGGCGCTGGCGGGCGGTTCCTTTAATCCCCCTGTCAGGCGGTCCGGAGAGAACGGTGCGGCTGGTGCCTGTGTGTGACCAGCATCTCAATGCCCGTTTCAACGCTCAGCCCCTTCTCTGTGAACGAGGCACTTACCTCCAGGCCCCTAAATACCGACGCCCCTTCTGAAGTGTTTCTGATGGTTGCCTATATGCTTTTCCTGACCAATAGTTTTCCCTGACAGCAGTGGTTCTCAACCTTCCTAATGCCGCAGCCCTTTAATACAGTTCCTCATGTTGTGGTGACCCCCAATTTCATTGTTACAAATTGAACATAATTAAAGCATAGTGATTAATCACAAAACAGTATGTAACTATATATATGTTTTCTGATGGTCTTAGGCGACCCCTGTGAAAGGGTCGTTCGACCCCCAAAAGGGGTTGTGACCCACAGGTTGAGAACCGCTGTACTAGAGCAAAGTGAGCCTGTAGCAAGTTACTGTTGCGGTGGGGGGTG